GGAATTTCAATAGTAGTATTTGTAGGGTACCTTAAAGTATTCATGTACTGTTGAGTAGTGAGTTTTAGTTTGCTAAAGACTACTGTGGTAAGGTTATCATCTGAGATCTAAATCATAGTTGTGAGGCAGTATTGTACGCGTCCTCGCTGCCTTATGCTGCAGAAATTTGTACAAGTTGAAAATCCATGTCTTCTCATTCAGTTTGCTTCTCTCATAATCTTTTTCGTGTTGTCGTGTTGTAAACAATTGATTGCAGTGTAGAGAGGATGGCTTGGCATAGGTATGAGCAGGCTGTTGAAACAAACAAAAGTGCTATACTAAAGAGGGAGAGGGGGAGGCATTCTGTACAATAGCTCATATAAGGTGTTCCCTATTTTGCACTAGGGAATCACTGAAGTCATATGTTGCTATAGTCGTTATTTCAACGCCATTTTTTCTCATTTTTTCTTACAGCTTTTGTGGGGAGAAGTGGGAGAAGAGAGAGAGGGAAAGAAAGAGAAAGAGAAAGAGAGACAGAGGGAGAGAGCGCTCGCATAGTCCATCGGACGACAGCAACGATCGTGACTGTCGCACAGCATTGGATGACGTATCGGAATCGTCGGACTTGCGAGTACCAGCGCCCTCAGAACGGGCTCAACGAATCTGTCTCCTCACGCAAACCTTCACAAATGTTAAACATATTTCAAGGCTAGCAAGTGCCTAGGGCAAACCCCTTTAAACTTCCCCTTAGGTATGTGGGTTGGGCCCCTCACATACTTTCACTACGGCCTACCACCAATAACATAAGCAGTAATAATTACTACCTCAGTCAAGTTTTTCACAAAAACAAGGTGAACGGCTTATACAGCCTAGACAACTTCGGTACCACCAACCATTCTAATCAATGTAGAGCAGGATGCAATAAATGTGACATGATAAATAAAGAAAATTATATTATATCAAATACCACAAATTTGAAAATCAATACATACATAGATAATAATGCAAATTGCGGTAGTGAAAATGTAATCTATTGTCTTAGCTGTTTAGAATGCGGATATCAATATGTAGGCCTGACTACTAGAAAACTCAAAGAAAGAATGACGGAACATATGTACCATATACAAAAGAATGATCCAAATAAATACGTATATAAACACTTTCACGATAAATGTAAGAAAAAGCTTATTTCTTTCACTATACTTGATAATTTACAAGAAAATACAGACAAGATTATTTTACAAACAAAGAAGCATTTTGGATTAAACTATTAGTAACAGCCTTCCCATTCGGAAATAATGACTGTATAAAAACGTATGGCAACATATCCAATATCATTAATCCGCTCAGTTATAAAGCTGAACACCCGTATTTCTCACTCAGAATCCTCAAGAAAAGAAACAGAAAAGGTAAGAGAACCAGAACAAATAAGAAAAATGACACCTTAATAGCAATTAATAGATTCAAAGAAGTATTAGATAACACATCTGATTTCAAAATATTTAAAAAAGAATTGTATAGCATGACTAAACGTGCTATTACTCAAATAATTCGTTTATGCTATTCAGACTCATTTTTCACAAATATGCAAGAGGAAAAGAAGTTCATACTTTTATGTCTATTATGCAAATTTTACTTCAAATCACCTAACTTAAACATAATAAAAAACAGTGATAGAACCTATTGCAATTTGCCCACTTACTATATAAATAATATTTTAGATTATGTCAATATAAATAAAATAATGAACTCCGAAACCATAACGCGATTAATTCAAAGCAACTCTTCAGTTAAATATATACCTTTTAGAATTGTATATAAATATGACAACCCAGTGTCACAATCACTTTTCAATTACAATGAAACACTCAAACACATTACAAATAACGAAGTGGTCAGAATTCTGGACTCTCAATGCATTTGCGAATCCAAGCAATACGAGAAATATATAGATAAATCTCATAAACATATAATAACAGGAAATACTGAAATTATTAACAACAAATATATCAGAAACCTGCTAGACAAAGGATGTAAATACAGAACTCCCACGAACGTATCAAAAAGATCCATAAGAAGTTGGATAGAGGAAACAACTAACACTTATGTAGACATAGTAAAAAACAGATATAAACTAAGTGAATCCATATTAAGGGAAATACATGACAATATCAAATCGAGAATACAAAAGACGTTGAAACCTAAGCTCTATTCACAATGGCTTAACAACACCAACATGTGTGACAAACACATCACAAAAGAGATTAAAAAGCTTCACGAATCTTTTATAATTTGCCCTCTAGACAAAGCAAGCGGTAATTATGGAATTATATGCAAAAAACTATACATTAATAGCATTATAAGTGAAATGGGTATCGAGTGCAACAACCTACAACTGAATATCAACAACACTAATAATACATACACTTATATAAACTCAACAACCCAAAACGACATAATTGAAAAACACAAGAGTTTCAATAACAATAACAACATTAAAAACTTGTCTAATATGAATGTACCAATAATTTACGCCATACCTAAATTACATAAATCACCTATCAAATTCCGATTTATAACAGGTGCCAAAAATAGTAGCCTAAAACCATTATCTATCGAACTCACGAAACTTTTAACTTTCATACGAACGCACTTTCTTAACTACAACAATACTATTAAGAACAGAAACACTCACCATCCCGAATGAAACACTCAATTCATAGGCTATTGGGCAATCAATAACATAAACATTAGCGAACAACTCCAAAACATACGCATGGATAACATGAAACTTTTTTCGGCGGACTTTACGAATATGTTCACCAACCTACCACATTCTCATAATTTAATAAAAAATATTAGAGAAATTAAAATATGTTCGCAAAAAGAAGTAGCATTGCAGATCGCAATGAACGGAGAAAACTTTTTTACAACTAAAACATCTTTATGAGTAGAATCGTATAACTTCGTATAATGTACAATTTCAGATATAGTCTACCTTTTGGATTATCTTTTGAAAAACAGCTATTGTAAATTTGCAGAACACCTCTTTGTACAGAAAACGGGAGTACCACAAGGTAGCAATGTTAGCCCTCTATTAGCTGATCTCACACATTATCATACTTTGAATATATCTATTACTTCACTTACTCATACTCCATGAACAGTCACAAACACAAGAACCCTAAAACAACATTAGACTTGGTACCAGAATATACTGAAGATATACGATATCCTTGTAGTACACAATCTAGATACACAAACTGTTCTAGATAAACTAAACCAAATATACGAAAATATTTTGAAATTGGAAGTTACACACACTGACGAATATAGATGTAATTATTTAGATCTAGAAATCAATATAGATCTAAATAAAATACAGACAAAAATGTATAATAAGACGGACTATTTCAACTTCAACATAAAACGCTTTCCAAACTCAACAACAAATATTTCGTGTCACATTAAACACAATACGATTTATTCCGAAATTTTAAGAATAGCTCGAACATGCTCCAATAAAAAGGATTTCATAAGTAGGTTAAAATATAGACTTGAGAATAGCCATTAACCAGAATCGTGGCATATAGTCTTACCAGTGATCTATTATCTATCCAATCTGAATAAAGTGCTCTGAGCTCAAAAACACTATTATAAAATATAAAATATGAACTAGGGCAAAATGGACGATTTAACTACCGAGTTCGTCTGTTACTACTCGAACAAACCTTGCATGACCCCCGTTGCAATAACAGAAAATGAAATAGTGGCATCTCGGTAGAGAATGATACGAAACAATGATAAAACTTTCACACGTTATATCAAGACTAGCCTCTCATTTTATATCTATCTACTATTCGAGGAGGCAGGACAAGAGGTGAGTTCAATTTTCTATACAAATTCATTGAATAATAAACAAACTCTTTCACTTTTTCATGAAAAACTGTAATTATATGTTAGATAAATCTAATTAGCTATAAAAAACTTTAATTTGTATTAAACCTTAATTAACTCAAATACTAATAATTCATTCACGCTAACAACTTTTGAAAATTTTATTTAATAAATACTACAATAATGTAAATCAAATTCTTTATACCTCTCCTCCCTTACTGATGAGCACAGGGAGAGGATACTCTTTCGTTTAGTCTCCGTCTAAGGGCACGTGCGAAACGGAGACTAAACTACTCTTTGAATCCCACCCCCTAAATAAATTTTGAATAAAACATATAAAAATATTGAGATCGAAAAATAAAAACAAAAACAGTTTAATTTCACAAATACAAAAGTTTAATCATATATAAAGCCATTACTTTTATTGTGAGTATTCGCCTCGATTGAATGCAGTCAGACTCAGCTTGCGATCGTTGCTGTCGTCCGATGGACAATGCGTGCGCCCAGAGGGAGACAGGTGTGGAGGTTCCGGTGCAGCGCCCCTCAAGGTAAGTCAGGAAATGGGGCTCCTGCCTGAGCGTATGGGAGGGGAGAAAGCTCATAGTCCGTTTGAATAGCTGCTCAGTATAATACGAAAACTCCTTTCTGCACCTAGGGGACTTGCTCATGCCGAAGCTCCAGCGCTCTGAGCTTAGACAATGTCCTCACTTCTGGATTACAGAGGTTTCGTCACACCATTCACATCAGAGTGAGACACTATCGCTGTAAGTATCTAGTGGAGTAGTCGCGCCATCTTCATGACCCCAATTTTTGCAGGGGAAAGACCTCGGAATCATCCCCTCCCCCTCTCCCCTCTTCATCCTTTTTTTGTGAATCAAAGTCCTTTTCTGTGATCCCTCATTCACCATCCTTTTTTTTAATATTCGTTGCTTGAATTTCATCCGAAGTCTTTCTCATGTTCGCACAAATTCTTGTCGTTCTTTTCGGAATTCACTAAATTCACTCCAATTAAATTCGTTGCAGCAGAAAAGTCGTCCGTCATCCGCGATCTGCGGCTGCTCCATGTGTCACACAGTACGCGTCGTGCCGGCCTGAAATGCGCGGGCGCACATGCACGCGCGGTAATGCGACCGCATCTACATTGTTTTGTTGACAATTACAACGAACAGGCTACTCATTTCTGTGAATTTAATACCAAAACTGTTCAACGCAAACGAGCTCTCCAGGTAAATTTTCAGCTAATGTCTTCATGGAACTGTTTTATTTATTTACTTTTTTGTTACTCATTCCATTTTAATTCAGGTTGCAGTTTTCGTTCACATTCTGTCGTTGTTTGCTTGCTCCACAGCAAGTGGAAGCCTCGATCCCCATAGCTCGCAGATTTCTACCCCCTGTCTCGCAGGATCCACTATTCCGCATGTGGTACGTTACATTCAATGACTTTCAGCAAAATCGCAATTTTCGCGGATAGCTTAACGCACCCATGAACTGCCACCTGAATCTGCATTCAAGTAGAATTAGAACCGGGCGCGCGTTTTGCTAGGCGATTATTCATTTTTTACAAAAACTCCATTCAGTGGCATCCAAACATCGAATTACAGACGGGCGTCATTTTTTCATTTCTTTTCTAGCTGCCTTCCATAGAGTTTTGGGTGCTGTTGTCGGCGGGTGGGGCATCATTATCAAGAGAGCTCATACAGTCCATATTCGCCCCCTTCCCCCTCCTCTGGGATTAAGCCCTAGGGGACTAGGAGAGGAGGCGCTTAAGCAGTTTTTATTTCATTTCCCCGAATTCCCCCCCCCCTGCTAGTCTCAGTCCTCACAGCGATGCCCCCCCCCCCCACCCACGACACCAGCGCCAAATTTCGCCCTGCACTCTTCTTAACTGCTCGAATGATTGCTAAGCGACTTTGAAATGGTAGTACCAAAACAGTTTCGGAGCTGTGCTAAGTTTTACTTTGTAGCAGCTCGATCATCTTTACGACCCAAAAATTCCCGAAAGTTTTTTTTTGAGAAGATCCTTTTTCAAACATTATTCAACGTTCTAATTCTTGATATATGAGGTTGGAAACATTAGGAAAGTCTTGCACCACTCGCTCATCAGGTTCTACTTTTTTCAGAAATTTTGTAGTCACAAAATATTCATGACACAATATGGGATATTGAACCGTTTTCCACCTAAAAGGTAGACAAAGCGCAACAATCAGTGACTATGAATGAATCTGAAAGCTTGGGTCACTGTTCAATCTATTCTCCAAACTATATTTTCCTCTACGAACACCTCTATGGTCATGAATATTCGTGGCACCTTGTATTCCAATCTTTGAAATAGTCATTTGAGGGTTATAAAATTTTTTTCACTATTACCCTTGTGTTAAACCTTCCTTCACTTTTAGGCACGCAATACAAGCGCGCAATGCTTCTTGTGGTCAAATCATACATCGCAGGAAATGTGTGCTCTTTCTCCAGAGGATAGGATTCAGCGATTCCGTTCCACTTTCCTTTTTGCAGATCTTCAGCCGATTTCCTTACATGCGGTATGGTCTACAGTTTTTATTGAACCATTAGTTTTGGTGATACATATGTTTTTTTTTAGGTTTTCTCTGCTGGCTCAAGCAGCGACATTTGGTCAAGGCGTCTCCTTTCTGGTGTACGCGGTAGTGACTGCGTTCGTGAGACAGGAGCTCTTTGCAGAGCATGCTTTGATCGCCTAGCCACTGCCTTGCGACGACTCGATGATGCTTACCGATCTTTCGATCAAGTAATTCTTTCGAAGTTATTCCAATATTTAAGTATTTGTGAATAGGTCGTGAAGAGTTCCATAGCTGTGAATGCGCGGACACTTGGCAAACAGTAGCCTGGATTAGTCCCCTACGATTAAGTTACTGTTCAATTGAAGAAAGCAAAAGATGAGCAGTTATCTGCGAGCACTTAAGCACTGTGTTTCAACATTGTTCACGTTTCTTTCTTATGAACCTTATATGATGATGGCCAAGTATAAGCGCATATTGTCATGAGACTGAACAACTTGGTTCTCTCTACTCAGCACGTTTTTACCTGTTTGGACTTGAGATGTCGGTCAGACTCTGCGATTGCATCGC